TAAAAAAAGCTTTCTATTCATGGGTGGGACATTGTGGAACTCCTTTTTTTTCTCACAGTACAACCGTGCGTAAAGACGCTGTTTCATCGCTGCGCATACTTTATATGCATTTACACCACTAAAAAAATTATTTGGAAAAAATGTTGAAAAAAATCACACAAATTACTAACTTATAAATACCAAAACTAAAAAATATGGTTTTTATGATGATGAAATATCAGTAAAGCAATTTGGTACAATTTGGCACACTTTGTGCCAAATTGGTTCCGGATGGCACTACTTGATAAAAAAGAGAAACTGCATAAAAATTTTGAATATTGTCTTCTTCCAATGAAGTATGCCTTTATTAGGGCATTTATACATTGAATATTTTAGGCAAGGCTAAAAAAACAGGTTTTTTTCCCAAACTTCAAAGGATGCAGAGTGAAATAGGAATGACATACATTATTTTAGTGTATATTTACATAAACTAGAAGGGCCTAGCTTTAAAATGATGCATCACACAAGCATGTGAGATGTAAGATTTGTTTTTAAATAAGCAAAGACATTTGGGTATGTCCAACTTTTGTGCACAAGACAAAACAGAAATAGGAGTTTAAGAGGTTAAGTGGTCACATTACTCTGAAAGCAGCTATTGACCAACTTTGAAATACTTTTTGAATATGCATAAATAAAGGCACAATACGTAATCTGTACTCTTAGTGATCTAAATTACAAGTACAATCCAACTGCATGGTGTTGTTGAGATCTGACACATGTTGCTCCTAAGCACATGTGTCAGATCCTTTTGTTTATAATGTATTACGACTTATTTCAAATGATGCATTTAAGCATGTGGAGTTACTCTTTGGAATGAAAAAAAAATGTTCAAAATCCTTTTGGATTAAGTACTGAAGAAGTATGTGGAGGAAAGAGAATGTTGCCTTCAGCACAGAGCAGGTGATGAAGAGGGGTAAGAGAGTGTTTGGGCGTGTGTCTGGTCTGAGTGAGTCAAATACGCGTCTGCTTTGTCCAACCCCTTTTACATTTTATTAATGTTGTTTTTGTTGATCCCGTAGAATGTTTTAGTATGTAAAAAATATTCTATGAACTAATCACTATATTGTTGACCACAAATTAGATCTTCAAAATGTTAGCGATTATGTATCATGACCTGAAATATATTTTGAGAGGTTTAAAATTGTACCCTGGAGTGACAGATTTATTTACCATTCATCCATATAGATATGTCACTGTGAAACTGGCCAAATAGTCCAGTATTGCTAATATGCTTCTCTTTTTTCTTCTTGCCACAAACAATTTGCCAAAGCGGCTTTCATTAAAATTTCTCTTCAAGGTTCTGTCGCACTATTAGACAGATGTTATATACAAGGAAGTGAGAGGTCAGGCCATGGTGAGGAAAGTTCTCGATCAATTTTCTCTTGTTGATCCTTTGAGCTAAAAGTAGTCGTTTCCGTGGAAGAAGAAGCAGGAAAGCATGTAGCTGGAGGACACATATAGTAGCAGAGGCTAAACCCATGCCGGTAGACAGACAAGGCCCAGGAAAATAAACTTGAAATCTCATGTAACATATCAAGCTCACGAGTGGAATGGGGGATTTCCAGTAATAGTTAGTGCAATATTGAATGTTTTGATGAATGAAATGAAATGTTTTGTTTACCTCTAGCACATCTGACATGTATTATACTTTATAAATGTAATAGGACAAAGTACTGTACATAAGGGCATGTGACTGGATTAGTTTAATGGCCAAAATAATTTTAAATGAACATATTCCTTCATGCACTGATTATTTATTACAGTATAAAACCATTTTTTTCTCAATTATAATTGTTTTCATTTGATTGAAAAAAAATATATGTATATATATTTTACAATATACAGAATAATTATCCACATCATTGGTTCTCAAAAGTGGTTTTCTTTTTCATGCTCCTAGTATTTTATAAAATGTGCGAAGAAATGGTGACTTCTAACATTGAAAATAAAGGAAAATTATGAAATTTGAAAGCTTCAAAAATATTCATTATAACCAAGTTGTTGCAGCTGCAGCCACAAAGGATGCAGAATCCTGTTCGAGCACACACAGCGACAACAAGTGATCCGCAGTCACTTTCTTTTGAGGCAGGCAGACTGGCCCATATATGGACATAGGCCCACATAAGTGGCATTGGCCCACTGGGTGGTACGCCATATTTCCAGTCCAGGCCTGGTGGAAGTCATCTGATTCTGATTCTGTATCTGATTTAAGTTATACAGAGTCACAATTGCTGTCTATTAACTGGTTGCATGGAACAATCTTTGCTGCCTTGCAGTGCCCCACCTCACTTTTGGAAACATTGATCTAAATGATGTGTCTATAACCTTATTCAATGAGTTATTTTTCAGTGATTATGAACACTATTTGGTCTCTCTTTCACTTGTGGAGGATCAAGAAACTATTCTTCTGCATCCATGAATGGATATGGTGTGTGGGGATACTCTTAGCTGCTCCCCCACTGTTTCACTGTAATCCGTCCTTTAAAAGATCCAAAATGTAAATTGAATATCCTTCAAACTAGCTCAGTTGGTTTCCATTTCACTCCCATTACCATGACTGAATGGAAGAACCCAGTAATCCATGTTTATGATGCAGAATTCATAAACAAAAGTACCCACACCACTTTATTTAGAAGAGCAATATTGTAAATGAGCAATAATGTGCATATGAATCCTAATCCGAAAACCATATTCTTAATGTCTTGAACCAGTGACCCCGGAGTTTCTGGAAGCATATCTTTTGTTCACACTTTTAGAATAGGGTTTGGTCATAAGAGTAATGTCCTGGATATGTCATGCGTCATGCATATACCTATTGCCATTGATGAGAACAATTACATTATAAAGACTTCCTGCATGACATCTACACATACAATGTATATGACTAAAGGAGTGTTTCTTTGGCAACAGAATAAAAGGCTGGTTTTCAAGGCCACCCCAGAGTCCCACAGATGTAGGACTGTGAGTTTGTCATATTCAGCACAGTGCTGTAGCTAAACCACAAACACTGGTCTCAATTATGGCCCTCTTACATTATCACCCTCCAGAGCAGTACTGTAATGAGCCCTGTGTGGAGTGTGTGTTGTACATGTATAGTGGACCATTTTTGTTTCTGATTGTGTATCTATGCACAAAATTCAAACATTTAACAAATGGCCCAAACAGAAGCAGCTATTGAAAAATGATTTTCCTCTCAAGGCAAGTAGCCTTGCACAGTGCAATTTGCTGCAGCTGTCGAAATGTTTCACCTCTGTGCTACTATTTGTGCAGGATTCTAGTAGTCCTAAAAAGGCAGAAACTTTATAACACTACGGGTAAGGTGACAACTTGGCATAGGTATGAAATAGAGAGTGGATAACATGAGGTCAGTAGGAATAATGTTTACCATGTTAACTGTCATCACAGTGCTTTTCTAGTGAACATGTAAACTTCACTCTTCTGTTCTGTTCCATGAAGGCTTCAATTGGTTCAGTGAAATCAGTCAGTCAAGGACAATGTAGGTGCAATGCATGAATGCATTACGTCTTTATTGGCTTGAATATCAGCAGAAGGTTTTTGTTTGGAGAAAATGAATTAATTTGTCACCATCATAAATGAACAATGTCAATCATTAAAGCTGCTAAAACAACTTTTAGTATCACAGTATACGGTAAAATGTGTAACTCATAGCAAGTAAGTGGGTGGGACGGAGATGATAACGCTTTGAATAAATGAAATAATAAATCAGACCGAATGTAAAAAGGAATTGTGATTGGTGAGTGCAACTCTGAGGACGAAGACTGGGTCAATATGGGTCCAACAGAATTTGATATGACTGACCTTCACTTTAGGTACAGGAGGATGTTCCCAAATTTTAGGAAAGAACCGCCCTCTCCACAGGGAACACTTACTAAAATGTATCACCAGAATTATTGGTATAATCTACCTCATGCACGCTTCCATTGTGTCACTATTTTATAAATATCTCTCCCATTTATACTTTACTATCAATGTATTTGTGTCATTAAGCCTATTGTCTTTTCTGACATACACTACTTCTCCTCTGTTCTCAATCCCTCGTCTTATCCCTGGGAAATAGTTCCTTTACACATCCAAATCTTCTTTTCCTACCATGGTTTGTGGGAAATCTCCATAACGTGCTTCTCAATGTGTCCAAAGTAATTGGATTTCTTTCTTGCCGTATACGATGCAAGACTTTGATTTGATTTTGTCGCTACATAAAAGACAGAAAAGGAGGAACAATAAAACAGCAGTGTTAAGCGTTAGAGGTGGTGAGATAACCGAAGCTCGCAGGAGACATAAAGTTAGCCATGCATGCTTTAATTCAATCACACAACATTGGAGCAGAAAAGGACCTGTGTCAACTCTGATTTAAAAAGAAAAGTGTCAGAATGTGTCAGCAGCCATTGGAAAGAATAGAGCTATAGTTGAGAAGTAATCTTTGTTTTTAGACCATACATGTTTTATGTAGTCTCTCTATAGTAGCAAGGGTTCTTAAAAGTAGTTCATTCTCTAGACATTTTCATTCATGGAACTTCTTGCAATTTTCATTTAATCAATCATTCATTCATTTTCAACCCGTTTGATATTCCATGTCTGGGTCGGGGGGGGGGTCAAAGCGGACACGGGGAATGCGGACTCCAGTTTGAGTTCATACCATGCGCATGCCATGTGTCAAATGCATTATTTTCTTTTATGCGATTACTGAAAAAAATTGAATTAACTTGACAACCCTACTTCTTACATTTGTTGTGGTTTGACAATTGCATACTCCAGCTTCTAAGATCTAAAAGGTAGATCTAAAAGGTCGTTTTGAGGTCTTTCTTCAAGCTTGGGTTGGTAGCGGTAACCAAAGCCTATATATTTGACCGTCCAAATCGAAACTAACAAACCTCTGTTCAATATCTGCATCATGTGTCATGCAAAATCCATCACTAACTAGTTCCTCTGCATGTTTGTAGGAAGTGCGGGGACACCTGTGGTTTTCAATGAGAACGGCGACGCCCCAGGGAGATACGACATCTTCCAATACCAGAACAACAAGTCAACCGCAGAGTACAGAGTCATCGGCTCCTGGACCAACAAACTGCACCTCAAGGTACGAGCAAGACCCACAGCAGGTCTCAGGTCTGGATACGCCTTAGTATCAGGGTCTGCAGTGTCCACATGTGAGACAACTGCAGACACAGAGTAAAGGTTATCCTGTACATCACACTGTATCAGCATGTTATTCCAATACAGCCAACACCCGGATGGGTTTTGAGCAGGTCACACTATAATTTTGTTATGGTCTGATATGTGCTATTTTTCATATCTGCCCTCATGTGGCTCCTTTCAAGTGAGCCCAGTCTTTGCCACACGACCTGAGTCCTGAGTGCTCCTGTTTGGTCTGAATGGAAATTGAAACCCGTGCAAAATGTGTAATGATTTTAACAATTTATTCCTCAACTATGACAACAGCCACGATTAGACTTTTTGCTAATGTATTCCAATGTGTTTTTTTTTTACTGCAAATGGCAAATAAAATGAATCTGAATCTGAATCATCCTCAGAATATTAGAAATAAAATATAAAAAGGAAAATCTGCAAATGAATTCATTTTCAAGTCCAATTCTTTACAATAATACATACTTTTGAAAGACCTGTCCAAGTTTACCTCATAAAAAGCATGTCCAGTTTTTTTAAGCAGCACAGTGAATTGTCAGCTCTTGTAAAACGTTATACAATTCACACCAGGTTGTTGTCACATTAAAATAAAATTCGATGGATGCAATATTACAATCAGACAAAAGTTACGATTTAATTCAATATACCCAGCTTTGTTAAATCCACCCAGCCCCTATCATTCCTTAACATCATATAATGCCACATTTTGATGCACAACTAAACAGAAAAATCCAATAGTTACCTCCTGAACTGGTTTAGAATCACTATTTAAAACAATGGTGCTGAAAAGAGCAGCCAATAAATCCACACAGGACTTCATTAGAGCAGCACAGTGACAGATGAGTCCAGTAATAGACACCAAACGTGCTGTGGCTGTTGCACTGCTTGCTGGAGTTGGAGCAAAAGAGAAAAGAGACACATGAATGGACAATGCAATCGTTATGTATGGATCCACTTATTCTAAGATAAGATAAGACAAGATCGACTTTATTGATCTCACACTGGAGAAATGTACATGTCACTACTCTTGCTTAGTTGCTTTTATTGTTTACCGGTATGTTTTCAATACTTATTATCTAGGAAATGCTGAAATTTAAAAACATATTGTCAACATGGGAAATGTGTCTTCTGCATTTGACCCATCCTGCAGTGCAATTATAGGGGAGCAGTGGTCGCCGTAGTACAGCGCCCGGGGGACTTTTTATTGCAATGGAAATCTTACTATTATTATTACTATTATAAGTAATTATAATGTGCCATCGGAGGGGCCGATGGCACATACTGGTTGCCTCGCTTCTGTCAGTGTGCCCCAGGGCAGCTGTGGCTACAGTAGTAGTTTATCACCACCGTGTTTGGAGTGAAAGAATAATGACATGTAAAGTGTCTTTGAGTGTCCAAAAAAGCGCTATATAAAACCAATGCATTATTATTGTTGGTGATTATTTCATATCACCACAAATATTGAGGCATATTGAACATACACTATTCGGAGTGACAGTTGGAGGCAATGAACATTTGTTACACAGCTCTACATGTCTGGTTAGGCTGGATTTTCAATCATTCTTCCATCTTTGCAAACAATTTCTCATCTCTCCCAACAAAAATGTTTTATAAAATATGCATAAACTTGTTGTTTTGTCACATTGGTAATTATGGAAAGAAAAGAGGCTTATATTATGGCCATAGCTTTATGTGCTGAATAATTAATGTTTGTAAAAAGGTATGAGCATTTTCAAACAGTTTCCAGCAGCCGCTAAGGTTATGAATAAATAATAAAGTTTCATAAAACACTACAAAACTAGGTTTTAAAGTTTGTGGCTCATTTACACTGTGGTAGAAAAGAACTGTTCAAATCGCTTCCAAATCATTTTCTTTTTTTTATTATTAATGGACCATGTACAATTAGAACATACATTTTTCCATGTGATGCACCGTAGTTAACCTTAGGCTATTTTACCTCCATAGTTCCCTGTAGGAGAACACTCCACGTACAGAAACATACATATAATAAAATACATGAACAGATATAAATGTATATAGAAATGTATGTAGACAGTAGAGCTATTTCTGTGTTAGTAATAGCCTTTAGCATTTATTACGTCACTAATAACCTCCAGGACACGGCTGTAATAACAATGTCTAATAACAGTTAAAATAGTAAAATCCTAATTTGTCCCGCCAGTGGGGAGACTTCAGAGTTGCAACTAACAGTTCAGGGGGCTCATTCGTGTGAAGCCTCTGTACGCTCAAAATGAGACTCAAACCGAGCATTTTCAGCTTTCTATGCCAAAGAAAATGTATTCATTTAAGAATGTACTTGAACCTTTGACTAACCATATCAAACGCTATTTCAGTGACTTAGGTTGAGGTTTGTGATTGGTGAGGCACTGACTTACAATGGTTATTCTATTAAAATAGCAGAAATTTGCCAATGCAATAACGTCCAAAAACATAGTATAAAGATAAGAGAACAAGAATCATTTAATAATCAATACTGCTGACTCTCTGCTCCGCATCACACATCTCTGAGAATCACAGGTGGGAGAGACTCAAGGAGCAGTGGCAAAGCTGCATGGGTATTTGGTGTGGCAATTTACACCCCAGTCAAAGTTCTTGCCACCCCCAGTGCCACCCTGCTGACAGTATCGCACTTTTGGAATTTTATGAACATTACTGAAGAAAAGTGTCTGCTTCTCATTGGTTGAGTTGACGCAGCTGTCTCATGCGTGCTCCGCCAAAACACAGCGCGGCAGCAGAACATCACTGACATCAGGTCATAGAGGAGCGTAATTTGCTAGTATGAAGCTTTCGTCTTTGACTTGTTATTAAATGAATAATGCAAATGTAAAGGAGAGGGTCTGCCAAAGGTTTTATTTGCTTAACTTGTGGAACTGACTGACAGCAATCCAGTTAGCTTACAAGGGCAAAACATCATGGGCTCATTTGCAAACACCTCCATTTTGAATTATTTTCCAAATTGTTCTAAATTTGTATCACCTTACTCTACAAGTGACACAAGAAAATTAATTTGATCAAGAACAAGTAACTTTATTTGTCTGATCCACTAAAAAAGATCTACTGTAGCCTTGCCTTCGCCATCCGTAAACTCCGGTCATTTCCCTGCATGTACCGTCTGGGTCTGGTCCTATCCGACCAATCAGCAATCGTGGGAGGCGGGTGTTGTAGGTAGATGTTGAATTGGCAGGTTGCAGCTTTGGCACTGACGAAGAATGCGATCGTAAAGCAATCTGTTTTGGTTATATCACATGGGAGGAGCTCAGAGTAGAGCCACTGCTGTCAAACCAAGGAGGCGCGTCTAAAACACTCTGAACCAGTGTGACTTGGTCTACTATGTACTCTCTGGGTGCACGTTCTAGTTACAAATGAGGAACTGATCTGTTTTAATCATGAAATTTGATCTCATAATGCGTACATGTGTTGAAGTTTTAAAATGGAGCAGATAACAATAATGGGGCGACAAAGGCTCAGATGGTCTCTGAACCTAATGGTCGTGGGTTCAATCCCCCCACAACCCGTGTCATCGTCTCCCACGGAAGTCTGCCGTCATTGTGTCTCTGGGCAAGTCACTTCGTCGATGCAGCAGCCATCTTCCTGAGGACCTGAAAGAGGATCAGTGATATGATTTGGATGGCAGCTCTGATAGCAGCCCACCAAACCCAGAAATGGAATAATAAAGGGGATGAAAAATGAACACAATTCAAATAATATCAATACAAATACTTTTAAGAATATTCCTGTGAAGATCGAGGGTTATAGTTCAACTGTCAAATACAACAAAATGTACACTTATCTGTTAGATACATTGTCTGATAAATCATGCAGTGTACATGATTGGTGGGTCCCAGATGCCAACATGCTGTTGTTCAATGGCTGGATAAATACAGCTCGACATGTCAAGTTCAATCTTTTAACTTCCCTACAAAGAAAGTGGAGTATGCCAATAGAGACCACACAATGATCCATTTCATTAGCACAAACACTGACTCACTGAAAGACCAGAGCAGCCCACACTCACACATGCTCACAAAGCCGATGGATTTTCCGTAATTCTAGCCCAAACGATCTCCACGCATTCACACATGGACGAGCATATGTCCGTGCAGACTGACTGAAGCAAATGCAGATGGTCTGTTTATGCCTGTTCTGATTATGCCCTGATAAAGCTGGCTCTGGGACAAAAGCTGGAGTGAGTTTTGTGGCCATCGAAGGACAATTTGCGCAGGTAGAGCGTAAACTGTGTGGGAAGGCACTTAACACGCGCCAATGAGGGGTGCAACAGATGCGCGTGCCAGTCTATGAGCTTTCCAATATCACCCAGAGGAAAGGCGTCTGGGAATGGATTGTGTGTGTAGCATCAATGGAAAATGTGTTCACCATTTTCTCACAGGTGAAAATAAAATATCGTTCAAAAGTTCTTTTACTTCTGTAATTCAACTTACAATGTGAAACAGACTCACACACAACGTGAGATATGACAATCCTTTATCCGTTATAATGTTGATAATGTTGATAATTGTTATGCTTGCGCCTGCCCCTCATGGCCTCGTTCCTCGTTCTACTGCCGGATCCTGCATCTAAAGCCTGTCTGTCCGTGGGCCTCCCCAAGGTTTCTACACAACTCAATTTAATTTGTTTTTTAATCACCACTGTCATTACCCCTCCTGCATCGGCAAGGAAAAACTTTAAAAACCCAGTGGGGGAAAATGAGAAACCTCAGAGAGACTCACATTGAGGAAGGATCCGCTCCCACGGACGGATAGGCTATAGATCCAGGACTCCGGCTGTAGAACATGGACCTTGGCCAATGAAGGACTGAGGCGCCTCCCAGGCGAGCAGGGGGTGCAGCCCACAAGTCTGGGCCGGGGAAGACAGGCCACAGGTTCCGATTGAGGAGGCCGGGTTCAGGGTTCCCATCATCACGCCATGAAACACACAATGGGACAGCGGGGGAATAACAATGAACAGACTACAGCTGAAGTCATAATGATGACGATTAAAGTAGTAAGAGAGGATAGAAAAGTGTCTGCATATGCAGTTTGACTTACAATCTGTTTTTTTAGTCATATGGTTCTATTTCTAAGTCTTACCTGAATCTGACCTACCTAAGCAAATGGCAGGTATATACGTTTCTCACTTTGTTGCTGATGTGATGATCTGGGACATTTGATATTATTGCATTATTTAGCGTTAGACACCATTAAGTTTCACTTGAAAAGTGAAACTAAGTTTTATCTGTATTTGTTATGAAATGTTTGTGCAGATGGACGCCTTGCGGTGGAGGACAGGAGACCCGTCGCTCCCTCAGTCCGTCTGCAGCCTGCCGTGTCGGGCCGGAGAGAGGAAGAATGTGGTCAAAGGCTCGCCCTGCTGCTGGCACTGTGAACGCTGTGAGGGATACCACTTCCAGGTAATTACATGGAAGAGTTGGTAGGCCTTGTCCTATGCAGATGGAGGAGTCAGCTGTATAATAAATAGACTAAACATGGCAGGTTATTTTAGAATTGACTCTCGGCAGGACTAAGCTCACCACACCTTGAATGACGGCTGTCAAAACTGTCATAAGCTGGCGGTTGCCACAACACAATTATTTTTTAAGTTAGTTTATTTCAAACAAGCTGTTTGCATTTTTAATATTTGGATGTTTTCAGTGAATTATATTCCCAGCAGCCTTTTCTCCACTGAATCAATATTCATCTATGGCAATGTGCCAATAAGTGAAAAAAAAAAAAAAACTGACTGGTATACAGAAACCTTAATGAGAAAGATAACAGAGAGTAATGCCATATACTCTACTGCTAAACAACTCTGGACCCAAGCTTTAAGAGTAAAGCCAATTAACAGAGACTAATAGATTTTGTGGTAGAGACTGAATTAGCCCGATCCATACACGGCTATAAAGGAGTTATCTGTCATGTCTGATCTGCTATCTGAGCTCTAATTACGTTCAAAACAACGATAACATCAGCAAAAATTCTTTCCCAAGCACCCGCACTCATGCAAGCTGTTGTAGTGGGGTCAGCAACAGTAGGGGTATGTGCACTGAACGGGGCGACAGTAGCTCAGTTGGTAGTGCATTGGCCTTTGAGCCTGAAGGTCGTGGGTTCGACTTTCTCCGACTCCCAATGATGTCTGCTGTCGTTGTGTCCTTGGCAAAAGACTTACCCTCTGGGAACACCAGATGCCACTGTGGGGCGGCTGCGGCTGTAAAGTGCCAAACTGCAATATACTGGTTGCCTCGCTTCTGTCAGTTTCCCCAGGGCAGCTGTGGCTACAGTAGTAGTTTATCACACCGTGTACGAAGTGAATGAATAATGAGATGTGAAGTGTCTTTGAGTGTCCAAAAAAGCAGAAAAAGTGTCTAGTAGCAGCAGAAACACATCCATTCATACAAACAAAACAAATAAATAGGTAATCCAAAAATGCAACAGCACTTTAGGTCACAGCAGCAGAGATGGTGTAGCCGCTGGATGAAGCAGGACGGGTCACAGCAGCAGAGATGGAGTAGCCACGAGGTTCAGACAATTTACTCTGCTCTGGTCCAGAGTAAAATGCTGAATGCTATGTTAGCATGTTTCAAAAAATGTGCATTCCCCAGTGGATCTGTGCTACATCTACTTTGTTCAGTCTGTGAGTCCTCTCTGTTCTGGTCTGGATCAGTGTAAACGTACTGTACTGCAGTAACATTTACTGTGCTGCAGTAACATTTACAGGTAGACAAAATCAAGAAGAAAAAAATAATTGTGAAGTAGACTTCAAGGCAGCACTGCTTGTGTACAAGTCTCTCCATGGCCTCGCACCAAAGTACTTAAGCGACATGTTGGTGCCATATGAACCACCCCGGACTCTGAGGAGCACAGGAGGTAGCCTCTTGCTGGTTCCCAGAGTCAGAACTAAACATGGGGAGGCAGTGTTCCAGATTTATGCAACTAAAATCTGGAACAATCTTCCTGAAAATGTGAGGCTGGAATCCACTGTGGCAGTTTTCAAATTCAGGTTAGAAACAGTTCTGTTTAGCCGTGCGTACAACTGAGGGATTTTATCTCTACAACTGAAGGATTTTGTGTCTGAGGTCCTGACCTGCAGTGTGGGGGCCCCCCAGGGAACTGTCCTCGAGCCGTTCCTCTTCACCCTCTACACTGCGGACTTCAGACACAACACGGACGGTTGTGTCCTACTGAAGTTCTCTGACGACTCTGCCATCATCGGACTCAGCTCAGAGGACGATGACACAGAGTACAGAGGAGTTATACAGGACTTTGTGGACTGGTGTCAGCGGAACCACCTCCTCATCAACGCGGGGAAGACCAAGGAGATGGTGGTGGATTTCCACAGACGTCACTCTGCCGCTCCAGCTCCAGTGAACATCCAGGGAAAGGACATCGAGAGAGTGGACTCTTACAATTACCTGGGTGTTCATCTTAACCACAAACTGGTCTGGACCCATAACACAGACGTCCTCTTCAAGAAGGGCCAAAGTCGCCTCTACCTGCTGAGGAGGCTTAGGTCTTTTGGAGTGCAGGGGCCACTCCTGAAGACCTTCTATGACTCTGTGGTGGAATCAGCCATCTTGTACGGTGTGGTCTGCTGGAACAGCAGCATCACAGAGAGGGACAGGAAGAAGCTGGACAAGGTCATCAGGAAGTCCAGCTCAGTCCTGGGCTGTTCCCTGGACACAGTGCAGGAAGTGGGGGACAGGAGGGTCCTGAGCAAACTAACATCTATGCTGGACCATGACTGTCACCCCCTGCAGGACACTCTGTATGCTCTGGAGAGCAGCTTCAGTGACAGACTAATTCACCCTCGCTGTGTGAAGGAGAGGTTCCGTAGGTCTTTCCTTCCTGCTGCTGTCAGACTGTACAATAAGAACAGCTGAGCCTGTAAATTTCATTCATCTGTAATTAAGTAAATTCTTAAATCATGTGCAATGTGCAACTTCAGAATGTCACAGAAAAATGTCACTTTACCTCATGTCACTTTACTTTATCTACTTGTTATCCTGCACTATTTAACTGTACAATATATAGCTGCACTACTACATATATATATATTTTGACTGGTATTGAAGTATTTTCACCATTTACAGCTAGTTATGTTAGCTAAGAAACATAGCTACTACTTATTTGTATATATTGTGTGTGCTCCCTGTGTGCTCTTACTACTGTCCTGTATGTGCGCTGCAACATTGAAATTTCCCCACTGTGGGACAAATAAAGGAATTCTTATCTTATCTTATAGATACTCTTTTTTATGCAATGTGGCTATTTTTTTATTTTAATCCCGTGTGTGTTTTTAATGTTTTAAGGCTTTTAATTACTTGCGATTTTATTCTGTTTTTAATTTGTTGTTGTGTTTTTTTTTATGTATATGTAGATTTTAATGTTTATGATTTGCTTTATATATGACGTGGGTTGTGAGGCGCTTTGTGTTGCCTTGTGTAGGAAAGGCGCTATACAAATAAAAGTTGATTGATTGATTGAAGTACAACACAACAGCTGTTTCAGAGCTTCCGTTTCCAGCGCATTCAAAGTAAAAAATTGTATGAACTGTGCTATAGAAATGTTGATTGATTGATTGAATGTACTGTAGTATTTATGATTGTATTCCCTGGTATTATGTGAATCTTTGTTTTGTTTCGTTTGTCTATAATATGAGCAATTATATAAGTAAACTTGCCTTATCTCTCCTTTTCTCAGGCGTCCGAATTCACGTGTGAGCTGTGTCGGTACGAGATGCGCCCAAACGTGAACCGCACCGGCTGCGTGCCCATCCCCATCATCAAGCTGGAGTGGCATTCACCCTGGGCCATTATCCCTATGTTCATCTCCATGATGGGCATCGTGGCCACCTCTTTCGTCATCGTCACTTTCGTCCGATACAACGACACGCCGATCGTCCGCGCTTCTGGTCGAGAGATGAGCTACGTGCTTCTCACTGGCATTTTCCTTTGCTACGCCATCACCTTTCTGATGATAGGCACGCCGGATGTGGGGGTGTGCTCACTGAGGAGGATTTTTTTGGGACTGGGGATGTGCTTCAGCTACGCCGCGCTCCTGACCAAGACAAACAGGATACATCGCATCTTTGAGCAAGGGAAGAAGTCTGTGACCGCGCCAAGGTGAGCTCAACAAATGATGTTAAAATATAATAAGGAACAGTGACACATTTTCAGTAGTAATAGAAAAGTATTTTAAACTTGGAAACAAAAAATAAATTAACTGCAATACACAGTTTTACAAAAAGGGGATACAGTGGTCCCTCGTTTATTGTGGATGTTATGTTCTAAACACATAAACCCTGTCAAACCTTTAGGTCTGAGTTCTGCAACACATGCAGTGTTCAATACAGCTGCAGAGGACACTGTGTAGGAGCAGGACTGAGGGCTATGGGAAGGCCGCGGTAGTAGGGCGGCTGTAAAGTGCCAAACTACCGTTGTGTCCCCCATAGCCTAGAACGAGTCTGGTGTGTGCATGAATGGTTGGTGGTGGTCAGAGCGGCACATACTGGTTGCCTCACTTCTGTCAGTGTGCCCCAGGACAGCTGTGGCTACAGTAGTTAATAACCACTGTGTATGGAGTGAAAGAATAGTGACATGTGAAGCATCTTTGAATGTCCAAAAAGGCGCTATATAAAACCAATTATTATCATTATTATTATTAGTCCTCTAAACTACCACACAAGCCACAAATGTATGCTTTGGTAGGTAAAAAAGGTAAAAAGGTAACGGTCATGATGTTTTTTTTTTTTGGAGTTTGGCCACAGTATAGCGAGGATCCCCCCCACAGACACACACACGAGACCTCCTGAGAAAAATTGTTATGGTATACGGGTACAATTACTACTGCTATCATAACAAAGCATGTCTTTTTGGGGTATGGCTCTATAAGCTTTGCACATTTAGGGACAGACCATAAGCTTTTCCCATTTTTCTACTTGCGCTATGTCAGATTAAAGGGAGAGTTTTTGAGAACAGTTTTTTCAGATGTTCATTTGGATTTGGTGTAATTTTAAAAGCATTCTATTGGTTGAAATGTCCCAATAATTTTGGAAATAGCCCTGATGGAAGGTAAACATCCTCCTCAGCCTCAAGTGTTTTCCTGACTCAGGCATTGCGTCATCGGTTTTAATTGACCATGCAAGTAAGAAAAAAGTACAGCTATCACTAGTTTTCACATGGATGTATTTTGGCCTCAGTGAAACAATGAGTAGCAACTCTTAGTATGTATAAGATAAAAATGTTTACACATGGAATAGAAACAATAAGATGTAGTTTGATTTGCTCAAAAGATGTTACTTAAACAAGACCGGGGTAAATACAATCCATTTATGGAACAAAAGAAATCGGGTGGCCGAGCTATAAGTACATTTAAAGTGGTCATTAAGAGGTAGAAAAAGGAAAAGATGCTACACAACAAGTAAAAGTAGTTTTGCCGAGTTGGATATTGGGCGGTGGGATTATCGGGGCAGGGGTCCATGGGATTGTTTTTAACTAAACTGTAGAGCACGTGAATGAAAAGCACTTTTGATTGATACAAATAAAAGTAACTAACTTGCCATATGAATGGTGGTTAAAATATTCAGATAAAATACACACATCACACAAGAGTTAATGAGTAGACACAACAACAAGAATCCATTAGTTTGTTTTAAAGGTTTTCAGCTCCACTTTAGATGTTGTCCTTCTCACAGTGACTTTGCCAGATGATGTTTTTTACAACGACAGTCAATGCCAGGATGTATTCACCTGTCCATCATCCTGCTCTATTATAAACATGAGGTCGCTGCAGCAGTGCGTTATCCTTGGACTGCCTGTGTTTTTTCACCTGGCCTCTCACAGACACTCACCTTTGGGCGAGTTGTCATTATTCATCATTATTTGCATGCATTACCTATAAAAGTGTGATCCCACTCTCACCTCTTGTTCTGTTTGCATTCTGCGTTTCCATCCAATTACATCGTGGAACTGCATTTAAATCTAAATTGAAATGCACGGTATATTGTCATTAACATGCGCAACCAAAAACATGTCATCTAAACTGATCTTAGTTTGGTGTCAATAGTCAATGACTTTTAATATTTTTTCCTACAAATTCATATATCCATTAGTTCAAGTGTGATGACCAATAGGTTGCATTCATGTGACAAAACAACACTTCAAAGAGCCTATAGTTTAACATGGTTGATGGAGGACAGCTGGTAACCATGGTAACTTTGGCTCTTAGTCCTACTTTATAGCTACTATTGTGTAGTTCCTTGGTCTATCCATATTAAACCAAAACTGTCACAGCATAGGAATGTTCATCTTGTCTTAAGTGTTTTTGTTCTTCTATATCAGCTAACTAAGGATAACAATGTTACTAGGCAAGACAAGGCAAGTTTATTTGTATAGCACAAGGCAACTCAAAGTGCTGAATAAAAGAAGATAGCAACAAGCACAAAAGGCATTAAAATCATAAATAATAAAAAAATAAAATCCTTCAGTACACTCTTCAGTTCTTCATTTGATGTTTTAATTTTTTTAGATCTCAATCATGAAATGTAAATGCCTTAAAGGTCCTATATCACGCTTTTCTTCATGTTTCACACTCAACCCTATACACATGTGTGATATTAATGTGTATGATACACCACACAACAATCAAAGCTTGTGAGATTAGAGCCATCTCTTGTACAGAGGTGACGTCACCTCGACTCAAACGAGCTGATCCAGAGAAGAGTCTGCTCCTCTGCCTGTGAGCCCGCCTCCCCCCGCCCGCACGGTGACGTAGCATCACGCTTTTGTCGTTTATCACCTGTACTTAGTAATTTCATACATAAGAATACACTTTTTCCAACAATGACAATCCGTCACATCGAGCCCTATGTCCTCGATGCACAATCAGACCCTAGTTATTTAGTTTACAGAAGTATACAGCAAGTTAGCGTCACTACTTACAGATCGAGGGGGTCCGAGTTACGTCTTTTACCGTGGGAATAAGGTGTTTCCAGATCAGCTTTTGAGTAAGTCCAGTTCCATTGTACCTGTAGTTCTGGAACAGTCTCAGTGAAGTGTCGCAGATGAACCGGTATTATAATAGATCCATGAGATGAACAGATGAAAAAAGTCGAGCCGCTTTCTTCCTCTTAGGGCCAAATAGTGTGTCACATATTTACACCCATAACACACTTCATTCAAGTTGACGTGATCCTAACACTTTTAGTTGCTGACAAAAGCATAAAAACAGCAGCTCTATGTGGTGTCCGCGAGACCAGACCACAGACGCTGGACTCGGGAGCCGGAGCCTGTGCGCTCTGATTCGCTGTTTTCAGTCAATCACCTCCCGTCGGCTTTTAATTTATTTTTATTTTTATTATTTTTGACAAAAAACAGCATACTAATTGTGTATTGTTTACCCCGTTTTGACAAAAGTATTTAAAAACTATTTTAAATACAAAGCAAACGGGGTCATGCGCGTCATCAGTGTGGTTTTTGTCACTGAAGTGGACCCGAGCGTTTCTGTGCCTCACGCTGGGGAAGGAGACAGATTGCTCTCCTACAAAAGATTGACAGAATCAATGAATAAACTACTGTGGGCTTGTGTATGAAGGCCAAATAGCATTGTAATCATGTTTAAAGCAGAGAAAAGTCAAAAACCGTGATATGGGCCCTTTAATATTGTATTGTTTTAATAATGGAGCAGAGGGTTTTTAGACTCAACCGCCTTGTAGCATTTAGAATATACATTTTTGAAATAAAGATCTGATGATAGGTATACTCTTTGAGTATCAAAATAAAAGTTCCTGTATCTAGATATGTATTGTAGTTTTTTTCGTCTTAACTGTTGTTTCTTTGATGTTTGTTGGTGAGGTCAATGGTTTTGTTAAGTCCTACTGTTTAATTTGTAATTGTATTGTATTGTGGGGCTGGTGCTCTGTATGCTGGGTGGCATCTCTGGCCACCCCCCCCGACCCAGAAATGGATTAAGGGGAAGAAAATGGATGGATGGATGGATGTAGTATATTGTATGAGCAGGCCCTGAATAGTTCCCAGATCTTCTAAAATCAAATAATTATTATCATAAATTATCAAGAACAATGTGACTAATGAAAACTTTTTTTTTTTTTCAAAAATCCTCCAACTGAAATAGAATTCTAAAAAATGTAAACAATAGCACTATTGTCCTAAAGAAATAACAGCCACATACACCAAAAAGGTTGATATTTTATTGTTATAACTGCCATGCTTTTTACCTGCACATATGTGTTGTCACCTTACAGAGTACATTGCTTACTTCCCAGGTTCATCTCCCCCGCCTCCCAGCTGGCCATCACCTTCTCCCTGATTTCGGTGCAGCTGTTGGGCGTGTTCATGTGGTTCGCTGTGGACCCTCCTCACACGGTGGTGGACTATGGAGAGCAGAGGACCCAGGACCCGCAATCTGCTCGAGGGGTGCTCAAGTGCGACATATCAGACCTGTCCCTCATCTGCTCTCTGAGCTACTCCATCCTGCTCATGGTGACGTGCACGGTCTACGCCATCAAAACCAGAGGAGTACCCGAAACCTTCAACGAGGCCAAACCCATTGGATTCACTATGTACACAACCTGCATCATCTGGCTGGCCTTCATCCCAATCTTCTTTGGCACGTCACAGTCAGCGGAAAGAGTAAGTGGATTCTGGTTTTTGTAAATAAATACGGTTGAAAAGATTGATGTAACTTAAAAATTAGCATTTTTACCTAGGTTACCTAACTTTCAAAGCACAGCATTTGAGATGTGCAATATCTCACATGCTGATTAAATGCATCAGCATTTGTGTGTTCTTCACACTTGTTATTACCAGTTTTGGCTTCCGTCAAATCTTTTATCAGCTTTTTAAGACAGAAATATCACAAATAGAGGATCTCCCTTACTCAGTTTATCAGCTCTCACAATGCAATTATGCAAAAGATTATGTTTTTGATAAAAGTTAAGCAGTATCTTAGAGTTAGTGATAATTTCTCTAAGTTTACGCAGGAAGTAAAGACGGTTTCTTGACAACCCGATTAGTGTTTCTGTCCCATTTCAGGTGGTGACCATGCTGTCATTCATGCACGTTAGACCAATAGACAAATCCTTAGATGTTAGATTAAATGTGTTTTTAACTAAGCATTGTTTGCTGTGGCACATGGTATTTAGCCAGTTTTCTTCCAGCATAGTACTGTATTTAGCTGCCCTCTGCATAGAAAACATAGATAGATAAATAAATTAAATAGACTTTTAGATAGATGGATAGACATGTCAGTGTGTTGTTCGCTTTGGTTTTGCCTATGCCCACTAATCTCGTGATTAATAAATGCCTAAACCTCATTGCTTTGGATTATCAGCAAAAAGTTGTTAAATGCAAAAAGGAAAATATCCAAATATAACATTGTGCATGTGCTATAGCGACAGTGTGTGTGTTTGTGTGTGTGTGTGTCTGTGTGTGTTAGTGCATGTTATTTATCGTAATCATTGTGGTTTTATTGCGTCTCCTGCTCTGTGATATTGTGCCTCATCTTCAGAATAAAACCCTTACAACTCAGTTTTATTTATGTGTCAAAAGAAAGCCATATTCTCAACACATAATTCTGAGGATGATACAAATATTATGACTTTTGCATTCTCTGTTTGACCCCAAAGGATTTCAAAGCAATTCTCCTCGCAATATTACTGGAATTAAGGTTGCATGAATATGTTTCTCTGCACCTTGTGTGTAAAATAGATAACCGCACCCTATAAATACTCCAGTTTGCCCTTCTTGGAGGTTTCTGATGATGTGTAAGTGTGTAAAATAACGTTAACAATGCCACAATTTGGAACTGGGAAAGGTTCGATAGCATCATTTTGGGTCCTCTTGGGGCTGGCGAGCACACTTCGCTATGTTATTATGTTTTTGAAATATGTTTTAAAGAGAAAAATGGAAAACGTTAAGCTCTCCCATGGCACTTGCAATAGTATATCTGAAGATTTAAAGTGCGTCTCTTGGCACCACTGATGTATAGATCTGCTTTACAAATATGCCGTAAAAGAGGGTAAAATGTGCGGAGGTTTCCTGTGAGGAGGATTCTCTGTCTGTCTGATTGACTGCTCTGGTGTTTTGGTCCAAGGCTTTTAGGCAGAAGGAGAACAGATCGTTTTACTTCCACCTTTGCTCAATAATTGATGTGAAGTGAGTGAGATGTAACATTGAGAAGGTACTCTTCAGAGATGTGTGTGTGTGTTTGTGTAGTGCATCTTTACTACAGATAAGCTGGATTCCCTTGTCCAACACATACAGTATCATGGCTTGAGTTAAAATGCCTATTTCTGCTTGTTTGCTGTATCTTTACAACGCAGTCACATGCTGTACAAAAATCGGATCTTGATAAAGGATCTTGTTTGCATCTCACCTTTAATACAAGGCTCTGTTTTATGAGATTGAATGAGCTGACAACGCATCTGTTAAATGGTATGCATGTGGTTCAAACAAAGAATCCATTATCAGAATCAGAATCATTTTGGAAATAGTTTTGGCAGATAGCGTGCCACTTCGCCATTTGCGGCGCTGTGTGCAAGCAAGAAACAGCAGAGAGCAATGAGATAGCAGGCAGTCAGAAGCAGGAGCGGTCTGAGACACGTCTTCGCTCGACGGAGGCGGAAGGAAGAATTATACTGTCATTCATCTGTTATTTCAAAGTTGTAGGTTTCATCTTAAGGATCTGATACCCTTGGTGATGGCCAAAACACACATTATGCAATCAATCAATGGGAATGAATCATGGATCTATAATAATAACTGGATAGGGTATTACTAGAGCTTTTAGCGGTCCCACCCATGGGCACAGGGGGCGCCCGTGGTACTGCAGACTCCGTGGTACTGCAGACTCCGTGGTACTGCAGACTAAGACTTCACGCGGGCTACACAGAAAAAAGTCCCATAGAACTCAATGTATATTAAAACAGCACGACCTCAGCTGACAGAGAGCCTACAGCTTTCATAAAGATCGGATTTTGTGGGGATTTTAGTGTCCCTTGTCATCCTGAACTTTTTTTCTTCTTAAATCCTTCGGTTTTCAATAAATCCACACTTTTCTGCCACAAACTCTGCTCCCTGCCATCCCGCTCTGGCTCTGCTCTTCCGCTGCTCTGATGATCAGCTCTGATTGGTCAGAGCGCGGCCGAGCCCCTCTGTGCTCGTGCATGAAAGCCACACACGCACGTTTGGCGTGACGCATCATGGGGGATATCTCCCATAATGCGTTGCGCTAATCCACTGCGCAGAACCGGGAGGACCAGACGATGGCCAAATATACTGTAGGCGAGTTCAGCTAATCTCCCGGTCTCCATGAAGTCCCATGCGCTACTGAGCACAAGCCATTCATTTGAATGGGGCGCCATCTTGGATCGCCGGGGCTTGGAATGAATACACTAGGTTACATTTAAACATAATTATAGATTTAAAACAGGGAAGAATAAGACAATATTCAAATGTTAGTAGGCGGATGTAAAGGCTGATTAAAATATCTGAGATTTCTGCTTTGAAAGTCCTCCTTCAGGTTAGGTTTACCTTTTTATTTTTTATTTATTAACCTTTATTTAACCAGGAAAGTCCCATTGAGATTAAAAACCTCTTTTTACCAGTCGGTAGATCTGAGTTAAAGTGGAGAGCTGTTGCATCCCATTCAATTCACTTCATTCTTTCAAAAACAAAGATAAACAACAACAAAAGTTTACAAAATAAAATGCATTAACTGTAAGTAAAAAAAGAGAGGCCACCACCACAGAATGTGTTCATCATGCTAAGTGGATTTGGGATAAAACTGTACGCTGTGTTCGGCATCTAGCAGCATTGCTTACTTGATGGGACCTGTTTTGACACAGCAAGTGTCTTCTCCAGAGCACTTGAATTCATTAACTTTTGAAAGCGATATGACATCAAATAAAGAAATGTATACATGCATACAAAATTCCCACTTAAGAACAAGCAATGTTATGAGAATAAAGACGAACTAGCAAAATTATCAGATAATCTCAAAACATTATGAAGTTAATCTCGAAATATGTCGGACAGTGGGAGGAGATCCAGCGCTGAGACCAGAGTGGACCCAGAGGAGAGACCATTGCGGACCCTGAGGAGAGACCAGACTAAAAACAGAACAAACTTGTTCCCAATATTTGTTTTCTGAGCAATGTTTTTCACAAAATTGAATTTAAGTACATTTAAAATTCAGTCAGATGACTTACCAATACTTTACATCAACTGCTAGTTTCTATATATATATATAAACATATACAAAAATCAAGATGTTGTAAGTAGTATTAAATATTGGAGGTGAGGTTCCTCTTTGACCTGTAAAAACCTCACATGTATCTTCTTTGCTAGACTCTAGACGTCACTCACATGATGGTCTTGTGTTTCAGCGTTCCTCTAAAAAGTGGTAAATAATCAGATGCTGTGGATGAGATGATTAAGCGCGTGGCAGATGAAAAGATGTCCTTTAACCCTATCACTCTGAAAACGGCAGCGGCTAATCTGATGTAGAACTGCGGGAGCCACCTTAGACTGTGCAAACCTATTCAAGTGCTCATCAACATTCAAAACAGGTCACTGATTGTAGATATGTGAGGTGCTGCTATAAGCTCCTGTATCTTGAAAAACAGTACAAACATGTGCAAATATGAAGATAAGCATGTCATGTTTTTGGTACAGAGAAAAGCACGTATCCGTCACGCCGTGAAGTCAAATACAGAAATAACATGAGATCTTTATACTGCAAATAGTGACTGCTTGTAATAATATAGAAAAAAAAAATGTTTTAGCTGTGGATGTGGCGGTTTTAGGTTTGGGAAAAAAAAAGAATATTGAATTGAAACCACACAAAAACAATTATCTAATGCAATAATTTACTGCATAGTGATTAACGATGCTAACCTTCTTATCCAAATTACAAAGTTTTGCTCCAACCCATCATTTACATCAAACAAAAGTTTGTGTCACAATTTTGGGCTTAGAAATCAGTGATTTGACACTCCCAATGATCCTGGTGTTTCTAGATTGATAATGTCTTTTTAAAACCCACAAAATCTGCCTCAGCCTGCCCCTCCCTTGATCCATCACCAAAAACCCATCCATCTTCACCTCCCCCTCGTCCAACACCCAAAACCTATTGAAAAAAAAACAACCCACCTTTTTTGTTTTCCTCTCTTATCAGTCACCTGCGCCATACCCTTGATAGCACAAAGAATACGTAACAGAAGGACATCAGTAGATGGAGAGTCTAAATAGGCAAATATATATATGATTACTGATGCATGTGAAAGCAAAAATATTTGACCAAAATGCATTTTTTGTCAAATGTTTTATTTTTATCCCAACATAATAACTTAATGCAGAATCAAACCTGGTTGCAACTATTTCAGAGTACAACAGAGATTGTTCAATCGTAAGAGCATAGTAGAGTAGCACACAAGAGATGTTTTTTGTGCTAAAACTAGAGAGGTTTTTCAAATGTTGCAATTTTCAAGTCTTACTGAGTCTTGTTCACTGAAATGCTGTTTTTGCTGCACTTAAAGACCAGGAATCCTAAAAGGATCTTTCCCCCAATGCACATACTGTTTTTTTAAATGCTCTCTAATTTAATACAAAACACAATGTGTAATGTATGT